AACTACCATGAAACTGTGACTAAAATATGAGCATGAGTCACACAAGTTCTGGACACGGGCGAATCACTTATTTCTGCCTGGGTCGATACAACTTTGATGCTTCCATAAAGCGAAGCAGTTTCAAGTCTATGGGTTATAGCGGTAAAATTTCAAACGGCCGACCTTTGGCTTTTTAATTAGTGGGATTATGGGCCGGTATCATAGCGCCTGGCGGGCGCATCCCGAGGAGGTACACATTTAACAAGGCATTCAGGCATCAGCGATCACCGCATACAAACTGCCACTAACACAGCTATAACAACAGGGAACACCAATAAGCGGACTTTACTGACTGCCATCTGTCGGTATTGATGGTCAATTCAGAAAGAATATCCATTCCAGCTGAATGTTCAACTTTTGTTTGAAAAAAAAAAAAAAAAAGCTCGAGTATGCAACAAACACGGGTGGCCAACTCTATAGTGCGATATGCCAACGTCGTGCAGTCGGATTCCAGGTCTGAACATCAGGTTTAACATCGATTATAATGTCATTAGTCCTCAATGGGCAGTTTATTGTAATTTGTAGCCATACCAAGTTTTATATTTATGTCTGTGCTTTCAAAAAACTGAAACCTAAACCAACTACTAGCCTAATTATTTCAATCATTAGAGTAATATATTATTAAAATAAAAGAAGAAATTATACCTCCTCTGAGGAGAGAAACAGGAGTGAGAGTAAAAGAAACAGGAGTGTGTTTGAAAGTAAAAGAGAGAGGTGGAGTAAATGAAACAAGTGTGTTGTGAAAGTAAATGAGAGGGGGAGTAAACGAAACAGGAGTGTGTGTGAGAGTAAAAGAGAGAGGCGAATAAATGAAACAAGGTTGTTTGTTTTGAATTTCGCGCAAAGCTACACGAGGGATATCTGCACTAGCCGTCCCTAATTTAGCAGCGTAAGGCTAGAGGGAAGGCAGCTAGTCATCACCACCCACCGCCAACTCTTGGGCTACTCTTTTACCAACGAATAGTGGGATTGACCGTCACATTATAACGCCCCCACGGCTGAAAGGGCGAGCATGTTTGGTGTAACGGGGATTCGAACCCGCGACCCGCAGATTGCGAGTCGAGCGCCCTAACCACCTGGCCATGCCGGGCCAAATGAAACAGGGGTGTGTTTGAAAGTAAAAGACAGGGTGTGTGTGTGTGAGGGATGTTAGAGAATGGTAAACTTAACAGGGTGTGTGTGTTTGAGGGATGTTAGAGAACGGTCAACAAAACAGGAGTGTGTGAGGGGGGGGATGCTAAAGAATGGTCAACGAAAAAGGATGTGTGTGTGTGTGTGAGGGATGTTAGAGAATGGTCAACGAAAAAGGATGTGTGTTTGAGGGATATTAGAGAATGATAAACGAAACAGTTTGTGTGTGTGTGTGTGTGAGAGAGAGAGAGATGTTTGAGAATGGCCAACGAAACAGGGTGTGTGTGTGTTTGATAGATGTTAGAGAATGGTAAACGAAACAAGGTGTGTGTGTTTGATGGATGTTAGAGAATGGTAAACGAAACAGGGTGTGTGTGTTTGATGGATGTTAGAGAATGGTAAACGAAACAGGGTGTGTGTGTTTGATGGATGTTACAGAATGGTAAACGAAACAGGATGTGTGTGTTTGATAGATGTTATAGAATGGTAAACGAAACAGGGTGTGTGTGTTTGAGGGATGTTAGAGAATGGTAAACGAAACAGGGTGTGTGAGTGAGAGTAAAAGAGAGAGGGGGGAGCAAGCGAAACAGGGTGTATGTGTATGAATTTATTGAATTTAGTGCAAAGCTACAATAGAGCAGTCTGGGTGAGCTGTCTTTAATTTTGAAAAGATAGACTAACTGGAAGGCAGCTAGTCAGCATAGCATCCCCCAACGTCAGACCGAACAGTAGGATGGTCAAAAATATACTGCACCCACGGCCCGAAAACGTAGACCAAGGTTTGAAGCTGAATCTGTTTGAGAGTGTACCGGGATTGCATACAAACACAGCGTTTTAAGTATAAACATTTTTTTAAATTTACAACTTAGGAAGAAACAACTTATTTAAGAACAACAAAAAAATATTTCCATCTCAGTATATGATTAACACGTATTACAAGGATGGCTTTGAGGTTTTTAGTGTTTAATTTGATTTAGTGGAAAGAATGGCTTGTTTGTAATTAAGCACAATGGTGTGCTCTGCCCACCACGGGTATCGAAACCCGGATTCTAGCATTGTAAGTCAACAGAGATACCGCTGTGCCACTGGGGGACAGGACAGATTGGCCTAAAAGTTCCTTTACAGTCCTTTTATGTTAAGTCAATCAGCGGTGGAGTAAAAAAGACTTAGTTTATCTTGAATTAAAACATTTAAACCACGCAGAATGAAAGCAAAACAAGCTGTACACTTAATGAAACAAGTTGTCTAGTTACAGAACAGTTTCAGAAGGTATAAACTTGGAGAAAGACAACTCCAAAAGGTGTTGAGGGATGTCCTGTTAACTTCCAAATAAAGAAAACGCTGGCATGGCTTGGGCACTCGACCCGCAATCTGCGGACAACGAGATGGAAACCCGTCTCCCAACGTGCTAGCCCTTTCAACCTTTAGGGCGTTATAATGTGACGGTCAGTCCCACTATTCGTTGGTAAAAGAGTAGCACAAGAGTTGGCGGTGAGAGGTGATTACTAGCTGCCTTTTCTCTACTTCATCACTTTAAAATTAGGGACGGCTAGCGTTACTGGCCCTACGGTACCTTTTGACAAAAATTCAACAAACAAACAAAGCCATCACGCAAAAAAGTAAGTAAGAATGGACCCACAACGTCCTAAGCTGACCTCGCATTCACCACACCCTCACCCACCTCGTGACTGATTGTGGCCGTGTTAATAACCCCTCCATAGCAATAACAAATTTAAAACTCTAAAATTTATCTTCTTATAGTCTAGACCAATGTTTTCCAGCGTACTGGTGGCCTTTTGGCGGGAGAGCCAAAAAATAACGGCGGAAGGAACGGAAGAGTTGGAGACTACGATAACCTAACAAAACTATCATTAGTTGGAGACGACGATAACCTAACAAAACTATCGCTAGTTGGAGACGACGATAACCTAACAAAACTATCGCTAGCTGGAGACTATGATAACCTAACAAACTATCATTAGTTGGAGACGACGATAACCTAACAACACTATCGCTAGTTGGAGACTACGATAACCTAACAAAACTATCATTAGTTGGAGACGACGATAACCTTCGAATCTCCGTCCCACCTAACATACTCGCCCTTTCAACCGTGGGGGCGTTATAATGTGACGGTCAATCCCACTATTCGTTGGTAAAAGAATATCCCAACAGTTGGCGGTGGGTGGTGATGACTAGCTACCTTCCTCCTATCCTTACACTGCTAAATTAAGGACGGCTAGACCTCGTGTAGCTTTGCGCGAAATTCAAACCAAACCATTAAATTCACCGATACATAACATAAAAACGGTTAAAATAGTTGTAAAAGGAAAAATTGTTTCGTTGTGATTCTCACTAATTTCCAATGTTTTTAGGGAAAAACTATCACATTCTATTCGACGATTCTGAACTTATGGGTGTTGTTTGACCAAAGTTATATTTACTCTTGATTTCTTCTCCACTACCATTTCATTTAAAAATAATAATTTAAACCGGCACTTGTTATAATCCATTTTGTTTAATCATTTATACTATATAATAAAATTGATCAATCGTAAAATATAAATATCACATAACTTCAGTTTTAACATTACTTTTTTTTTTATCTGACCAACAAACCCAAGTATTCAAATCTATCTTATGAATGACAAATTGCTTTTAATTTTCGGTCTAAAAAATTTGTTTAAATATTTCTAATACAACGGTAGCGCCATCTTTACACAATGATATAAACTATGATTAAATAAGACATAAAACTTTAGTAACCATTTCTACTCCCAGGTTTTAGCTTTATTTTGTACTTGGCCCTATCAGAAACAGTTAAAGAATTAAGCTGTACCTCAGTGCGAGTTCGGTAAGTGTTGTCTGTCATTATACAAAGCTATTTTCAATTTTACTTAAAGAATCACCAGACATTGCCAAGTTCAAAGCTACTGTGTTCCCTCCCTCTCTGCCACCTTTTCTTAAGCCAACATTTCATTGAACAGTTGCAGAAATTGAGATTTAAAGTGTTCTTTGTGTGTGAAAAGGAAAACATTGTCACTCTGTATGGACAAAAAAAAAGGCCCAGTTTTCACTCCGGAAGTCTGGTAACCCTAGCTAGGAAATTTCTCGTGTGTTCTATATGTATGTTGATGTAAGTTTAACCCCATGAAAGAGAAACTTGTAATTTTTCCGTAGACTTGATAACCAAGATTGGACGAGACTCGAACATTTGATTCTGCTAACTAGTCATACGCTGTAACCAAGTTAATCTTTCTTGGGAATGTTGAGTTTAACTGATTTTAATGGTTAAATGGTTGTACACTATATAGGACATTGGTTTGACCACATTTTGAGTACTTCATTCATTCTTAGGCTCCTGACATCAAAAAGGACACTGAAATTTTGGAAAGGGTTCAGAGGAGGGCTACTAGGGTGGTCCCTAGAATGGAAAGGTTGTTATATGAGGAGGGGGTTAATATCTGAGCTTGTTTTCTCTTGAGAGGGGATCTGATTGAGGTGTTTGAAATTGTTAATAGTGTTCATGCATCATATTTTTTTTGTATTTAATAACAAGAATGGTAGGAATAGAAGACACAAATATAAATCTGGCAGGGTATGAGTCATCTTTTGCTGAGACAGCTTTATTTTTCTAACAGGGTAGTTGAACTCTGGAATAGGTTGCCTTCAAATGTGGTAGATGCAGTTAATTTAAGGGAGTTTAAGCTTGATAACTACTTAAACGAAAAGGGCTGGCTTTGAGTTTTTTAGCGTTTAGTTTAATTTAATAGATAGGATGGCCTAGATAGACAAAAAAATGTTGTGTTATTTTTCTGTACATGTGAAAATTTTAACTTGACAGGACCACTCTTTAAACTTACAGAATGTTAAGTTGCATCTGTCTCCTTATCAGAGCATTTCTCTTGTTAACCAGGATGAACCACTGCTGTGTTAACTGTTCTTCCTTTTCCTTGTTCATGCCAGGTAGATAATGAAACAAAAAACACACAATATCTAGCACTTGAAGAAAACAAAAAACACACAATATCTAGCACTTGAAGAAAACAAAAACACACAATATCTAACACTTGAAGAAAACAAAAAACACACAATATCTACATCAAAAATGTAGAATTATACATAGACTTTTCTCTATGTTAACATACTTGCTGGAGTCTTCATCGAGCAACAATGCACTGAGCAAAAAATTCGTTAAACTGTGGAACACTGCTTTAAAATATGTCTCTAAGCAATAGTCATAACAATAAGTGACATCTGGTATCACAGTTATTAAACATATAGAATTATGATGAATATAGACTATAAATCAATTGCTTCGTTATGATAAACAAAATAAAAATACAATTATAGGAAATAAAAATAAATGAACAAATAAATAAATAAAATAAAGGAATTTTTAAACTTCAAATAATACATTAAAGGTTTAATTTTACATCGAAACCACGACAAATAATATGCTTTATTTCTTTTATTAGTGGTCTCCATACAGTACTGAGTAGTTGTTGACCATTATTTTGATTAATACCCACTGGTGGTCCACTGTCTTGTGCTTGGATGGCTTTAAAATAAAACCCAAAACTCGAGCGCTTTTGAAAACTTGACTATTCTTTTTCTTTGTTCTCCTGAAGAAGAATAGTCAACTATTTGAAAGCACTCAAGTTTTGGGTCTTATTTTAAGTCTATATGTGATCCTTTGTGGTAACTCTTTTATCAAAAGTGCTTGGATGGCAATAGCTTCCTTGATATTTCTACGTTTGATGTTTTCTTCTCTGTCTATTATGAAATGATGTGTTTATAATGCAGTTCTTAATATTTCTTTGGTGTTCTTTGAACCTTACCTGTAATGGGCATTGTGTTTCCCCAATGTATTGTTTATTACACTCACACCTACACTCGCAAATAAAGTATTTTAACGTAGAGAATAGTCTGTTGATAAATCTACATATTAATTTACCTATGTTATGAGTCTTAAACAACAATTAGCTCCATCAAATGTTCACATTACAGATATTTCACACTTTCAACACATCTATCTGGAGAGTTTAATTTTTTATAATATTTTTGTTTATATAAATAAATCGAGGGTTTATTTCAATCCTAAAAGCCACAATTTTATTTTATATTCTTTAAAATGAATTTTAATAAGTTATTCAAAGAGATATAAACAATTATTAATAAGGACTTCTGATGAAAAGTAAAGAAGAATGTACAGTAATACATCAACAACACTATGTTTGCTATATCCAGTGCCAACAAGGTCTTTCTTTCAATACCAGGGCTTTTCAGGTTGGCTGGGAAACGACAGACATAGTAGTAGTTGAGATACTATTCAAATTGCTCATTTTTACTTATATATATCTGAAGAAAAGACATAATAGTTACAGGTTTATATATATATTTAACAAGGAATACGAGACAATTGTTCTAAAAACCAACAACCATTGCTCTCTTACCATTGTTCATAACTTTTCTTAGATTGTCTTCAAGTTTATATATATATTTAACAAGGAATAAGAGACAATTATTGTAAAAACCAACAACCGTTACTCTCTTACCATTGTTCATAACTTTTCTTAGCTTGTCTTCAAGTTTATATATATATTCAACAAGGAATACGAGACAGTTATTCTAAAAACCAACAACCATTACTCTCTTACCATTGTTCATAACTTTTCTTAGCTTGTTTTCAAGTTCTGCAGCTTCCTGATCAATCTGTTCTTGTTCCCTTTCTAAAGCTTCTATTTCATTTGTAACATAGGAACTCTGTTCTGAGGCCTTTGTAAAATCACCAAAAAGTTATACGTGTATTCCTGAGGCTAAACAAAACTTCTAATTACCTATAAACTCTATAACATGTTGTTGAATTTGGAACACACAGTATAATGTTATAGCTTAATAAACCCCATTTAGTTCAATGGTGCCATATCCTTTACACACAATACACAGGTTTCATTTAAAAAAAAAAAAAAATACTGTGAATCATCCCCCAAAAAAAACTATGCGTAACAGGATCGTCTCCTAAATGTTAGCTGACCAGATACTTCTACAGAAACGTAACTGGTTCATGACTATTCATAAAAAAACAGTGTTTATGTTAAATTCGATGACGAGGAACCCACTTTGAGACTAATAATGGCTGGAGACGGCTTGAATGGGTAATGAAGAAAAACTTTAATATAAGTTTAACATGACAGTTTTACATCAGTTTTACCTGATGATGACAAAACCTTGTCGTAAACGTTGTACATTTGCTGTCATG